AATAATTTATAGTTATCGCTCAATTTTGTTTAGATTTGTAGAACGACTAGAGCTGCTCTCACGATAATATAATGTTACACATTATTACTTACAACAGCCTCATGCTTCTAGTCATAACACCAATTATGGCAATAGCATTGCAGCTGATTACTGGTGTTGCGGTAGTGGTATTTCGAAGCACATTTCTCCAAACAAACATCATTTTGTATCATTTACTAAGTTTTGTACTTCTGAGAAAAATATATCTTGAAAGCAGCGGCCAGTAAGAGTTTCCAAGCAATACTAAATGAAAAAATAGTTGAGACAATAATATATACATAAGATATACATTTTAAATCGTACAGGAAAAATTAAAGTTGCAAATAAGTTTCCGCATGAGCTCTGGTATAAACGAAAGGTGGAGAATCTTAATTACCTTAAAGTATTTGATACTGGTTATTATGTACATGTGTCGAAGCAATTTAGATCAAAGTTTGATAGTAAATCAGTTTTTGGGCATATGGTTGGATATGCTAATGACAAAGATGGGTAAAGAGTATGGATTCCATAAAAAAAATATTAATTTGTAGTTATGATGTATTGTTTAAATTTGAAAAAGTGTGCAATATACAGCTAAAAGCAGAAATTGTTAGCTATATAAATGGAAAAGACGATAAAGGTGAAATTGAAAATCAATTCGACATACCATACGAAGAAAATAATCCTCTGGATGAAAGCATCAATGAAAAGATTGATATAAATGACAACAATGAAGTCAATAATTTTCCAGAAGAACCAGTCAATGAAACACGACGAACTATTCGTAAGATAAAACAACCAGATTGGATGAAATGAGGTGATGATGAATATGGATGATAAAAAATTGAAAATTTTACAATGGAATTGCCGTGGTATAAAAAATAAAATTGATCTTGTGGTTAAATCTAGTGAATATGATACTTTGATGTTAGTAGAAACTCACTTAAATATGGATGACCAATTCCGTTTTCAATTTAGTACGTTTTGATAGACTTGGGGTGGTATTGCAATTTGTGTAAACAACGTTTTCAATGAGACGAAACAGTGAGTTTTTATTTAAAAAAAAATATTCATATATTCCTTACATCATTCACAACAAACACAACAGATGGCAGTACTAGTACTATTTTGATACAATTTAACACCCCCACTTATCAAAATAATGTGAACATCCTCAACAAACTCTCTAAACAATCTCGACTAAACAATTTACAAATATAAATTAGTTTTTACATCTTGAATTCCCAGCAACCCCATAAAATAATAATGCTTTCTGCTCCCTAAACCTTTTGTGAATAGGTCTGCTGGCATTTCAGCAGTTTCCAAATACATAAGTTTAATCTTATTATTAACAATACATTCTTTGCAGAAATGGTGGCGAATATCAATATGTTTAGTTCTTTTATTAAAACTATTATTTGAAGATAGCTTAAGTGCACCCTGGTTATCATTAAATAAAGTAATGGGGTATGATTCATTTATTATTTCCTTTGACAAGTTATGCAAATAAATAGCTTCCCTACAAGCATTGGTTATGCCCATGTATTCTGCCTCCGTACTTGAGAGGGCAACTGTTTTTTGCTTTTTTGCCTCCTACGATACAACACTACCAGCTAGTGTAAAACATAAACCTGTGTAAGACCTTCTGTCTATAATATTATTTCCCTAATCAGCATCCACGAACCCTTCTAGTCTAGAGTTACCACATTTAGAATATTTTAACCCAAAATATTTAATTTCTTAAGATATTTCAATATTCGTTTAGCATATGCCCAAGTTTCATTACTATAGCAATTATTAAATTGACTTAGGAAATTTAGTGAATATGCAATATCAGGTCTGGTTAACACAGCCAAATACATCAGCCCACCTATGAGTTGTTGATATGGTATTTTGCTATCACAATTTTTATCTCTTAAGTTAATGTTCAATTTAGATTCTAGGGGTGTATCAGCCACTTTAAAATCTGCCATGTTAAATCTATGTAATAACTGATTAACATAATTCTCTTGGCTTAATGTGACTGTACCATTAACCTTATCAATGTTAACACTCATTCCCAAACAGTTTTTAACCTGACCTAAATCTTTTATTTTAAATTTTGAAGACAATACTTTTTTTAAATTATTACTTTCAATATTATCATTAGTAAAAACAAAAAAATCATCAACATACAAAGTTACAATTGTTTTCCTATCATTATACATTTTTGTGTACAAGCATGGTTCCAATTTGGAGCGTTTATAACCTTGGCTAATAAGACATTCGTCAACCTTCTTGTACCAGGCCCTTGAGGATTGCTTTAGACCATAAATCGCTTTATTCAATTTAAGTACTTTATTATTATTTTGAGAACTTGACAAACCTTCTGGTATTTGCATGTAAATATTTTCCTCAAGGTCCCCATTCAAGAATGCTGTAGTGACATCGAGATGTGTAACATCTAATCCAAGTTTAACTGACAATGCAAACAGTAACCTTAAAGTTGAGTGCCTGACTACAGGCGAGAAAATGTCNCAAAAAGAAGGATTAGTTTTTAGTAAAGTTGATCTCAAATTTAAAAGTGATAATATTGAATATGGTGTAATTCAGATAGAATCAGAGTTTGGTGGTATTTTGAAAGTTACTTGTTATAGAAACCATACTCTCCATGTAGTTCTCACTCCAGACTTAGCCCATTAGCATCATCAAACACTTCCTCAGAAATGCACATATTCGATAACCCATATCTTTTTGGTATCTTCCTCGTTCTGCTGGGTCTCAATAGCTGCTCAGGAGGATTATCAGCATCTTCATACTCGCTAGGAACATAAGTACTATCTGAGCTATTTGATGTTTCGAGTAATGTATCCTCATCTGTGGTTATTTCATTAGAACTTGTATCCTTGACAACTGTGTCCCTCACTGAAGACGAGTTTTGACCTCTTTCCATAACAGGTATACTGATCTCAAGGTTATTTTCCTCTTCCATGACAATGACATCTCTACTAGTTGTCACACGTTTAGTTTTGGGATTATAAATTCGGTAACCTTTGATGTCATCTGGATAACCCACTAATGTGTGCTTCTCGGACTTTCTATCCCATTTCTGCCGCTTCTCTTTAGTCACATGAACCATGACTTCGCTCCCAAAAATATCTGGTTTGCGGCCAGTCCAAACTTCACAAAGAGTCTTTTCATCAAGAGCAGGAAGAACAGTACGATTTTGTAAATAAACGGCAGTATTTGTAGCTTCTGCCCAGAATTCTTTGCCCATATTCGCGNGGCACTCTCCAACCATGTGTGTCACTGGATATACTCGCTCTAAAGCCGTTAATATTGTCTTCATCATCATATAAAATTTTGTGTATTTCTACAATATCATCCCGATTATTTACATCTAACTCATTTTGCCGCCATATTTTTCCTATAACAATCAATTTACAAACATTAGCATAGCGGAAATACTTTTTTACTACAACAATTATGATCTAAGTTTAGCAGAAAAAAATAAAAGAAATAAAATAAATAAAACTTACAAATTAATTGGCATGGTGTCTTACAGGTGCTGTTGCACGCACCGTGGATTATTGTACAAAATTTGCAATGCCACTAATAGCTTTTCTTAATATGAACTAGGAAAATAGTAGGAGTGTCAATATGATCACACAACGCACGCACTAATAATCACGATTAATGAGTGATATGTATTTTAGAGTTCCATCGCGACTAACGGAGTGTTAAAAACACAATTTTTATAAATTTATTTGGTTTGGTTTTTCACGGGAACCTTTATTACACTTAATATTTTAGCTATTACACATTACTGATGGTAAATAAAGAAACGACATAGACCCATAAAGTACTTAGATTGTTTATGGAATGAGAAAAGTGCAGAGTTACTGGATGTAAGGATAATATTATCTTGGGAACTAACTTCCCAATAAGTATTTATTAATTACCTCGAAGAATATCAGCACTTTACAAACAAAAGTTCGTTTTATACAAATATTACAATTTAAAACAACAGATGATAACGTAGTAGTTAATTACTTACCAGATCTGTTCTTATTTTTATTAAATTGTATGACGAAGATTCTGTATATTTATTTCATTGTCAGGGGCAATCAGGATTTAAAGATACATCAACTATTAATCTAATTAAACGATGGAAAAGTTATAAATTCAAAAGGCATAATATTTCGATATAAATATTACTATCGATTAAACTGAGTGTTTTGTTTTAAATTTAACTTCACTGTTGCGTTTATGTCTTTATGCACGCTACCAGGTTACCATAAACATATAATTTATCGCCTATATTTCTTCATTACTTAGAATCCGTCATTTTGAAATGTAGACGTTTAAGCCTACTTCTTTTGGAAAACATTTTATTTTTCGGGGGTATTTCATAATAATATTTTGTTACAGTGCCAACCACTACTAGCTGTCCTACAGGTAAGCACTGATACATGAAGCCTGTTTATGAATTAAGTCGTGTTGGTTTATTTTTATGGAATGTTTTAAATTTCATGTTTTGTCAGTGAACGAATGAGTGACCTTTTGCTTACATACGGGGTATTTCTGTAATAAGTAGCAAGCGTTGGAGGGTGTCAGCTAAATGAAATAGGGAATCACATGGTGAGTGCAGCAGAGCGATTAAGAGACGAAAAAAATATATAAAAATACACAGCAATGGTGGTAAATAAGGATCCATAAGAGGTACATTTTAAAATTTATAACGACGTACACACACACGGACGCACGCATGCACGCACCCACGCACGCACGCCTATTTAAAAGCAAGCCCCTTGTAAAAACGGTATGCCTATATGTACTTAAATTTACAGAGGGTTATTCACGTTATTCGACACGAAAGATTACGGCATGTTTCTAGATCTTTAGAAAATTTTATTGTGGTGATAAATAAGCTGTACATTTTAAAATTATTATCAGAATATACAGGGTGTCAAACAAAGCGTATCAAAGTTGTACTTTATTAAATGGAACACCTTATATATTTTTACATTTTTGGATTTTATTTTCAAAATAACAGAGAATTTAATTGAGGTTTACCTCACCTAAACGTTAAGGATTTTAAAATATTTCGAATACTTTGAAAATGTAGTATCAGTCTTAATTTTTAAATTCTCAACGTATATTACCGCTTTTAAATTGAAGCTTGCTAATTGATTATGTTTTGTATCGCCATTGTGATATATTGATTGACGTCTACAGGGTGTCCTAAAATTATAATTAAATAAATACAAATTCGATAGAGAATTAAATTTTACAACTGTTAATGACATAAAATATAGTGTGTTCCATTTAAACTAAACATGTCATTCCCGTTTAAAATTTGTATTTGTTTAATCATAATTTTTTGTCACCCTGTATACGTCAGTCAATTTTTCACAATGGCGATGTAAAACATAATCAATTAACATGCTTCAATTTCAATTTTAAAAGTGGTATCAAAAAATGGTGAAAGCATAGAACAGTGTTTTATTGAGTTTATTTATTGTTACTTTGTATTAAGTTTGAATTTGCATTATCCTGTTGCTTAAGGGACTCTCAAGTTCTATTAATAATGTATAATGTATGTCTACAATGTTCAAGTCTTTTTTTCGTTTTGTTGTTTAATATTATATATTTAAGTACACATAGGCATGTTGTTTTTACAAGGTGCTTGCTTTTTGCTAGATACAAGGTACTTGAAAGAACTAAAAATATTTTTTCGTAAACAGTTGAGAAAATACTCCAAAACTACATTTTCGTAACTTTACTAGCAAATTCAACAATTTCAACAATTGGAATTTAGGTTGCAATAATAGTACATACGAAAGGATACTCAAGTATACAAAAACAGCGCGGTTGGCATTGTCTTTTTTTTTTTGGAAAAGCTCGGTTTAGTTACCAACTTAATGAAAACAGCGTTTCATTGACGCGTATTTCTTCAGTGCTGGAATTAGATTTACCTGTAATTTCAACTATGTTTTTCTCGAAAACTTTCGGACCTGTACACATTTAGATAATTTTTTTATTTTTAGTGCCCTATCACCTCATACATGGATGCTACTTGTTTTAGAAACACCCTGTATGATTAGATAAATTAAACCCAAAACTGTATAAGGTTTTTTTCAAGTCAGATTGCAGTCACTAATTTTCTGTACACAGATAATCTTGGACATGACCGTTAGAGTTAATGTTGGTTAATTTGTTTCCTTGTTCGTTAACACGGTTACAAAAATGATTACGTGTTTTACTCAATATTGACTTAATTTTAGGTGAAATCGGTACTGAACCTACATGTACATCGGAAGACGTCTATCCAGGACCCTTTTGTAATGAGTATTATCAATGTTCAAAGTTTCTTATATTTTGGTATGAAGTAAAACTAAAAACCTGTGAATCTGGATATGCCTTTAGTCCATCACAGAAAAGTTGTATTCTTCCTCCAGGAGTTTGCCAATGTGTGGATTAAAAACATATCAATTAGCTTTAGCTAAATTCTGTAGTATGTGCAATTGGATCAAATAAATTTTGTTTCACTTAAACAAGCTTACTTACTAATTATATTATATTAAATTCGTAGTTTTGACTACAGTCCAGGCATTTTATGCAGTAGATTCACTTTTAAAAACCTATGACCTAAAATGTCAGCATTTTTTGCAGACCCTCATAAACCAAAAAAGGGCGGTGCTTGTTCCGGTTCAGTAAACCGTGGCATGCCAGTCAATAATATTCGGGTGTTTCCGAGGGTCGGGTTCCATATCTGCTTGAGTCTGAAGGTCTCTTCCTTCTTGTTGAAGTTCTTCGGATATTTTTGATTTCGATGGCCTCTCTGACTATCCTGCTCTGTTCAGTGCGTGGTCGGCCATAGCAGACTCTTTTTAGAGTGTCTTAGCTGGCAGCTTGGTTTGTGCTGATTGAGTCTCATTGCCATTAATCACTTAGTAGTTCCTATGTAGACTTTTCCGCAGGAATTGAGTCAGCTTCAGGAGTCTGCTGCATACCAGGTTCCTAGGGACGAGATTTAGACTCAACTAGTTCTGGAACCCGATCCTCAGTAACACTCGAACGGATTCGATTTACATGCCACGGTTGGCTGAATCAGAACAAGCCCACATTAAGCATCGAAAATTAAAAACTTCTGAAGGAAATGATTCACTCCATAAATTGCTTACTAGAAGTGTGTAATTCTTAATTAGGCTTCAAATACGTTCCAGCTCAGTTTGTAAATTGTTGAGGTTAATTTGCTTTCTTTGTTACCTCGTATACATATCATCGAAGATAGGATATGGAGAGATAACATTTCTACATTTACATTTCTTATTTCCTAATGTATTTCTTATGACACTTTCGTTCGTTAGATTGTAATAATTTTTTATTTAAAAGTTGTAATCAACAAATATCAACATATCGTAGCTGCTCATAAAAAATAGCGTATGCTTATTAGGAAATGTGCATTCATTCTTAAGGAGTTTTACTGATTATGTCGATTCAGAAAAGTGACGTATCGTTTATAAAATACTGTAAAAAATAATCTCAATTGTCAACGAGACAGTGAATAATTTCACTTCTTCATTCTCAGCGAATTATCCTGTTTTGACAAAAATTTACTTTCTCCTAAAATTTGGAGAAGGATGTGGTTTAAAATGATAAAAAGAAGCCCTTATTAATAAAACAGCATAACGAATAAAAGATAAAACGACACCGACGACAAAATTAATATTGTTATGTTTGTTTCTTGTATTGAGGGGAAAATTTGATAATTCGATTTTTCTCACGCAACATTTTTCAAAGTACTGAAGCATGGGATATTACGTCCAATTTGGATTGAATGATTAGGTGTTGATAGGTTCTAGTGTGATTAGATTTATTAGATTATATTGATTAGTAGAGTAGTAAGGACACAATGAAGTTGTAAAGAATGAATGAAATGAAATAGAACGGGAGTTTTCGATACTTTTTATGACTACTGTAACTGATGTTGCCAATGATCGAAACAGTGCAATGAAATTTTGACTTGAACTATAAAAGCAGCTATTTCCGAATAATAACAGAATGCAGAACAAGTTAGTAAAGTCGTGAACTACAGATTTGTAATTGCGAAGTCTGTGGACTACAGCCCACAAGCCCAAACATTAATTGCAATTAACAACATCATACCGGCTGTGAAAGCTTACCGAGTTTATTAAACTCAGGTACTATAACTAATATAGTGTTGCTTAAAGCAGTACCTATTGAAACCACACAGAAAACTGGCCCAGAAAAAATCTGTCAATCAAATTTTCTTTTTCTTTATTTGCAACAGCACACATCGATTTAGCGGGTAAAACAACTCGTAAATTGATTTTGTACAAATTACCGTATTCTGTCCCGGTGGCCACTACTTGACCGTCATTTTCGAAAATACAGTAATAGTAAAATTAATACCCTTTTTGGCAGTCTTCTTCACGGAAAACACATGTCGGGGGTGTACAATACGTTGTATATTTACTCGGAGATCACTTCACACCGACGGCACTAACTTCATCACCGGTTTTTCGAATGACTCAAAATCATCAAAAATGCCCATGCTGTTGGTCAAGTGGTTCGACGCTTCAGAATCGATGATCCATTCATCCTTGATTACTGACCAAAGATTGTTGCCCACAAATGCTAACGGACCAGATTGCGATTTTTCACCTTTCGCTTTTCCTTTACCATAGTTTTTATACACGTTCCGTCTGGAGCCACATCCGAAATATCCTGGACAGTCTTTTCGTATATAATCCTTTTTACCACACGTATAGCAACCTGTTGCACCCTTCAACACATGTTTTTGTTTCAAATTTTGAGTCACTTTGAATTTAGAAAACAAAGCAACACTTTTGTTTATTTCTTCAGTTGTTTTCCTCAGTCTTTACTCTTCAGTGAGCAAACGTGATGTTAAATTTTCCAATGTTTTATTAACTGCATTAGTGGAGTTCTACGCATTGTGGAAATGGTGAAGAGAGAATCGACAGAATTCTTGTAAGAAACATAAAGTTCGGTATCGTGCCACCTAATTTTTTCATATGATTTACCATTTGTTTCAGTTTTGCCACATGGTCAACAACAGATAGAGATTTGCCCCACTTGAAGTTAAAAAAACTGCTTCTGTAAGTGCAACAACGTTTCGTCCGAATTCAAATCGTAAATTGCATGTAACTTCTGCCACATTTCAAAGGCGGTCTCGCAATTCATGAGGAACTGTAATGGTTTGGTTTTCACGGTCGTTACAAATAATTTTTTTGCGGTCCTATCTGCTCTTAACGAGCCATTCAAAGATTCACTGGTATCATCCTCTCCATGTGAAGTCGGCTTGGTTTCGGTTCCAATACTTCAGAGTACGAATCATAAACTGTCATTGCGGGCAGTTGCTGCTATCTCGAAGTTTTTCAACAATGACCTTTTCCCTGTCCATCTTTATTGTTCAAAAGAAAAGAACACGATTTTGTTTTATATAACACAAAAACCACGTAACAATTAAACTAAGCTTATGGATCAGCGATGTCTGGGTCCATTAACCCAGAGCCGGGCAAACTCGGCTCTTTTGACTCCCGAGTGCTCCTCAGGTATAACCAAGTAGCTCCTCATTGATCCTACGAGTGCGAGTGAGATGATTCTTACCTTTTCTTATTCCTTCCATTTCGTAGGTGAGTCCCCTCTTCCATAGCGAAACCCAATAGTATTGCGAACGTAGTAACGAAAATTTTCGTAGGTATTTTTTAAGTTGCGAGAGTGGCTTCGCTCGTCTACGGGATGAAGGGGCCTGATATGGGAGTGGATGGAAAAAGAAAAAGAGAAAGCAATATTATTCATTACTGCTTACTCTCTCGTACTCATTGAAGGGTATGGAGTGACTCAAACAAACCTCATGTAGCGGCCCCTACGAAGTTAAAGTTTGCCCGGCTCTGCATTAACCTGTTCTTGTTAATTTTACGTGACAGAAAAACTTCCGTACAGTTGAAGAGTTTTATTCATACTACGTACTATGTTACCACAAAGAAAGAATATACATAAAGGCATACCGCCGGTCCTGTTTATATAACAAAAATGAGAACAAGAAGTTCTCGGAGTGTAAAGCAATAATTTATAGTTATCGCTCAATTTTGTTTAGATTTGTAGAACGACTAGAGCTGCTCTCACGATAATATAATGTTACACATTATTACTTACAACAGCCTCATGCTTCTAGTCATAACACCAATTATGGCAATAGCATTGCAGCTGATTACTGGTGTTGCGGTAGTGGTATTTCGAAGCACATTTCTCCAAACAAACATCATTTTGTATCATTTACTAAGTTTTGTACTTCTGAGAAAAATATATCTTGAAAGCAGCGGCCAGTAAGAGTTTCCAAGCAATACTAAATGAAAAAATAGTTGAGACAATAATATATACATAAGATATACATTTTAAATCGTACAGGAAAAATTAAAGTTGCAAATAAGTTTCCGCATGAGCTCTGGTATAAACGAAAGGTGGAGAATCTTAATTACCTTAAAGTATTTGATACTGGTTATTATGTACATGTGTCGAAGCAATTTAGATCAAAGTTTGATAGTAAATCAGTTTTTGGGCATATGGTTGGATATGCTAATGACAAAGATGGGTAAAGAGTATGGATTCCATAAAAAAAATATTAATTTGTAGTTATGATGTATTGTTTAAATTTGAAAAAGTGTGCAATATACAGCTAAAAGCAGAAATTGTTAGCTATATAAATGGAAAAGACGATAAAGGTGAAATTGAAAATCAATTCGACATACCATACGAAGAAAATAATCCTCTGGATGAAAGCATCAATGAAAAGATTGATATAAATGACAACAATGAAGTCAATAATTTTCCAGAAGAACCAGTCAATGAAACACGACGAACTATTCGTAAGATAAAACAACCAGATTGGATGAAATGAGGTGATGATGAATATGGATGATAAAAAATTGAAAATTTTACAATGGAATTGCCGTGGTATAAAAAATAAAATTGATCTTGTGGTTAAATCTAGTGAATATGATACTTTGATGTTAGTAGAAACTCACTTAAATATGGATGACCAATTCCGTTTTCAATTTAGTACGTTTTGATAGACTTGGGGTGGTATTGCAATTTGTGTAAACAACGTTTTCAATGAGACGAAACAGTGAGTTTTTATTTAAAAAAAAATATTCATATATTCCTTACATCATTCACAACAAACACAACAGATGGCAGTACTAGTACTATTTTGATACAATTTAACACCCCCACTTATCAAAATAATGTGAACATCCTCAACAAACTCTCTAAACAATCTCGACTAAACAATTTACAAATATAAATTAGTTTTTACATCTTGAATTCCCAGCAACCCCATAAAATAATAATGCTTTCTGCTCCCTAAACCTTTTGTGAATAGGTCTGCTGGCATTTTAGCAGTTTCCAAATACATAAGTTTAATCTTATTATTAACAATACATTCTTTGCAGAAATGGTGGCGAATATCAATATGTTTAGTTCTTTTATTAAAACTATTATTTGAAGATAGC